ACATGGCTTGCCCCTACCGGGAATGAGCCGGATCAGAAGCGGTTTGGCATTTCAGACTTGCACTGCTTTGTTTTCCCGCCGTTTTCTTCCCGCGCGGGTGATCGGGTTTTTTTAAAGTTCGATTTATAGCGTTATAACGATATAACGCTATATCGGAACGCCAAACGATCGCAATAGTGATCCCATTGGAGTTTGAAGTTCCGGTATAGCGTTATAGCGATATAATGCTATAAATCGAACGTTCAAAAAAAAAAAAAGCCCGCGAGGGCGAAAAACAGCGGGGAAAAAGCGTAACAGAACCGGGAGAGGGAACTGAAGACTACTCTGAAGCGGTTGACAGGTAAAACGCTTCAGTCCCGGTTCCTAAACGGGACAGAAGCTTTTGTGTATGAAATGGCAGTTACAATCCGGTAGGGAACCGATTCTCAAACGGGTTCTGTCTGAAATGACAGACCAGAACCCATTTGAGAACCGGTTCCCTACCGGGAGATATCGCCTGTCTGAAATTCCCCAGAATTTCCTCAACTATTACATATAGGAAGGGGGAGGGGTCGTCAGGAAGGACCAGTTAGAGTAAAGATGCATAAGTACTGGGTGATTATAGCTGAGATCGGATTAAGGAGGTTGGTAAGATCTGTGAAGGGCAGTAAATTAGCAAACAAGTACAAGAGTTAACAGATGTGAGAACGAAGTCTGAGTCCAGTGGCACCTTCAAGACCAACAAAGTTCAATTCCAGGTATAAGCGAGAACTGAGGGACTTGGCATGTATTGTGAACTGAGATCGTGACAGCTCTTAAACAAGTGATTCATGTTTATTCAGCTCATAACAACACAAGACACTGTTTTGTTACACTGTTTTCCCCACCTCTGTTGTTTTCCTCACCTCACAACACCTCTGTGAGGTAGGTTAATCTGAGAGTGTGTGACTGGCCCAAGGTCACCTAGTAGGATTGCCAGGTCTGGTTTGGGAAATACCTGGAGATCGGGGGGGGGGGGCATGGGCAGGCAAAGTTTGGGCAGGGAGGGTCCTCAGCAGGGTATAATGTTGTACAGCCTGCCTTCCAAAGCAGCCATCCACTCCAGGAAAACTGATCTCTGGAAACCAACTGTAATTCTGGGAGATCTCCAGCCACCACCAGGAGGTTGGTAGCTTTCATGGCAGAGTGGGGATTTGAACCAATACAAACCAGGACACAGGCTGCAACATGTTCTGGGAGGGATCCTCCCTGGGTCGATACTGATATATCAACATGGGTCTGACAGAGCATCACTGAGCCAAATGATACAGAGCTTCACTGCCCCAGACATGGTGTTCCACCTATACCTTATGGCTAATAGCTACTGATGGACCTCTGCTCCATATGCTTATCCAATCCCCTCTTGAAGCTGTCTATGCTTGTAGCTGCCACCACTTCCTGCGGCAGTGAATTCCATGTGTTAATTACTCTTTGGGTGAAGAAGGACTTCCTTTTATCTGTTCTAAACCTACTGCTCATTAATTTCATTGAGTGCCCACGAGTTCCTGTATTGTGAGAAAGGGAGAAAAGTACCTCTTTCTCTACCTGCTCTATCCCATCATGCATAATTTTGTAAACCTCTACCCTCAGTCTTCATTTCTCCAAGCTCAAGAGCTCTTTAACAAGCTAAAGAACTCTTTAACCTTTCTTCATAGGGAAGGTGTTCCATCCCTTAATCATTTCAGGTGCCCTTTTCTGCACCTTTTCCAATGCTCTAACATCTTTTTTGAGGTGCGGTGACCAGAACTGTACACAATATTCCAAATGAGGCCGCACCATAGATTTATACAGGGGCATTATGATACTGGCTGATTTGTTTTCAGTCCCTAATAATCCCCAGCATAGCATTTGCCTTTTTTATTACAGTCACACCCTGAGTCGACATCTCCTGGTCAGTTACCGACAGTTAGGACCCCATTAATGTATATTTATAGTTAAGATTTAGTCATTTAGTTTCATGGGAGAGCTCTTTATTTACTAAAAAAATATATATATACAAAGGTTGCCAATCTCCCACGGTGGGGGCTGGAGCTCCCAGAATTACAATGGATTCCCAGGCTATAGAGCTGAGTTCCCCGGGGGGAAATGGCTGCTTTGGAGGGGGGACTGCGTGGCATCGCTTCCCCACTCCAGAAACTTCCCAAGCCAGAGCTGACAACAACCTCTGTGGGAGAACACAGTGGTTCAGGGCATTGCAAAATAGTCCCCCTGTCTGCAGCTTCAAGAGCCAGTTTGGTGTAGTGGTTAAGTGCGCGGACTCTAATCTGGGAGAACCGGGTTTGATTCCCCACTCCTCCACTTGCACCTGGCTGGATGACCTTGGGTCAGTCACAAGCTCTGGCACAGCTGTCCTTGAAAAAGAGCAGTTTGTGTCAGAGCTCTCAGCCCCGCCCACCTCACAGGGTGTCTGTTGTGGGGAGGGGAAGAGAAAGGAGTTTGTAAGCAGCTCTGAGACTCCGAGTGAAGGGCAGGGTATAAATCCAATCTCTTCTTCTTCTTCTTCTTCTTCTTCTTAATTGGATCGCTTTGGTGTTCTGTGGGAACCAATTTCAGGCAGCATCATGACACATCAGATTAACGGGTGGGACATTATATTTTCAATAGGAAGGTGGCCATTCCCCCCACCCCACCCCGATCCAGCAAAGAGATGGCCTGTAAACAGTTTGCACAGAACACCAAGTAATATAATTTAGTTTGCAAGATATCCTGCTGTCCATCTTGAAGCTGCTGATGGAGAGGCTATCTTACTGTGCCCTCATCTACCCATTTCTATCCCTTTAAAAGAAAAAAAAAAGGATTGACCATCTAGCCTAAGAAAGAGTTCTGGGGCTCTCAAAGACTTGCACACCATCTTCCACTGACTTCTGCACTGAGAATTCCTCTGGGGACCAGTACTGCTACCTGCAATCTTTACCTAGCTTTGAACCAGTCAGTTAGAAATGCATGACACAGGGCTGCTAACTCCAAATTGGGAAATTCCTGGAGATTTGGGGGGGGGGGGGCAGCCTGTGGAGACTGGGCAGGGTTGCCAGGTCTGGGTTGGAAAATACCTGGAGACTTTGGGGGTGGAGCTGGGAGAGGGTGGGGTTTGGGGAGGGGAAAGACCTCAACAGAGTACGGTGCCACAGAGTCCACCCTTCAAAGCAGCCATTTTCTCCAGGGGAGCTGATCTCTGTCAGCTGGAGATCAGTTGTAAATGTGGGAGATCCCCAGGCCCCACCTGGAGACTGGCAACCTTAATACTGGGGTCTGGGGAGGGAAGGGCCCTCATTGGGTATAATGCAACAGAGTTCATCCTCCAAAGCAGCCATTTTTTCCAGGGGGGACTGATTTCCGTCGCCTGGAGATCAGCTGTGATTCCAGAAGATTTCCAGGTCCAACCTGGATGCTGGCAACCATAAAATGGCACTAAAGTCTATGACTAATTCTGGAGTCTTTCTCTCTCTCTCCCACTTAACGTTCTTTAGGAAATGGCTAGGCTTGTCAATTTTCCATTGGCCACTAGATGGCCTAGTGATTCCATAGTTCATCAGGAACAAAGTCTTAGAGGGGTGGGTGTGGCGGGACAACAACCAGCAACATAACTTTTAAACCTTGCATATATTTGGCACCCCGCCTCGTATCATGCAGGTATTATTCGGCTAGTTAATGAATGAGGCAAAAGGATTAGTTTTTAAGCTGCCCCTCTGCTTGGAAAATAAAAGGCGCTTGCAGAATGCAGAGGGAAGCGCGGGCTACAGCTGCAGCGGTAAGCGCCAAGACCAAGCCCCAGGCAGCGCCATAGGCCCTCTGCGTAAACGCGCTCGCAGAGCAGCAAGAGCAATGTTCCCTCTAAACTGTGGAGTCTTGTGAGCAAAACTTCTACTTTGTGAGCTACGGGCATTAATGTTGTGGGTGAGCGATTTGGCTACTGCAGACATTAGTCTGCTCTGGAACCCACCTTCCTGAGCAAAGACAAAAATGTGTGAGCCCGAAGCTAAAAAACTGTGAGCTGGCTCACACTAGCTCAGCTTAGAGGGAACACTGAGCCGGAGGACTCATTTTAAAAGGTTTTAAGGGTGCCACTGGACTCAAGCTTAGTTCTCACTTCTGTTGTTAACGCCTTTACTGTCTGTCTGCTGATGTGTTGCTATTTACATGTCTTGCCCAATGTGTTATTCCAGTCTTGGCAGTATTTACTGCTCAGTCACTTAGTCACTCAGTCACTGCCAACCTAGCAGTTCGAAAGCAAGAAATTGCAAGTAGATAAATAGGTACTACTTCGGTGGGAAGGTAACAGCGTTCCGTGCGCCTTGGTGTTTAGTCATGCCGGCCACATGACCACGGAAACATCTTCGGACAGCGCTGGCTCTTCGGCTTTGAAACGGAGATGAGCACTGCAACCCTAGAGTCAGATTCGACTGGCTTTCGAGCAAGGGAACCTTTACCTTTACCACTTAGGCATCTTGACTCTTAATTAGCTCTTCCTGACAACTAACACACCCCCCCCAACTTGGGGATAGAGCCTGGGGAGGACAGGGACCCCGGCGGGGTACAATGCCATAGAATCCACCCACTCAAGTATCCATTTTCTTCATTGATCAACAGTCTGGAGATGAGCTGTTAATTCCAGGGGATCCTCAGGTCCCACCTGGAGGCTGGCCACTCCTCTGTGGTAATCGTTCATGCAACTCCACTGCGAGCCATCAAAGTCTGACTCATTCGCCTGCATGTGTGGACGTTATTATTGCCCCCCTTCAAAACTACCGACGGTCGGTTTTATGTAGATTTTAAAGAGAGACATTGCTCAAAAGCCGGCAGAAGCTTCCCTCGAAGAAAAACCATCAGCCGCCGGCCTAAGGAGGAAACCACTTTTGGTTTCGCTTTTAAAAACCGAGGAAGCTGGGGAAAGGAAGAGAAAGAGCTGGATCGCAGGAGTTTTGCAAAGCACGTTTGGGCAGATGGCCGTAAAGAGAGTACCTCGATCTTCAGAATACACTTACCGGCATTGCGGGGGGGGCTGTGTTTGGGCTCTGGAGGAGTCCTCCGATCCGCTAGAAACCACCGGAGCCTGAAAGTCACGTGCGAGGAGGGAGGCCCTAAGAGCAAATCGCAAACACCCCGCCCTGGGAAATCCCTGCCCAGAGGAAGGGACGGAATGAGCCGTGTAGTCCTGTCTCTGGTTAGCGTATCCTCTGAAACATGGGGGGGGGGGAGGGGGGAGCTTACCTATTAGATCACCCTTCAGACCCGCTCAACAGTCCCCACAGAGGAGACTCTTATAACCGGTCTTCGTTTGTGTTTGATTGCCATCAAGTCGCAGCCGCTTGCAAGGCGACTGAGAAGCCGAGATGGTTTGCCATTGCCTTCCTCTGCAGACGCTTCCCGGGTGGTCTCCCTTCCAAATACCAACTCTGCTTAGCTTCCGAGATCTGAGACGATGGGGCTGCACCGCGCCCCTTCCCTCCCGGTGTTCATATTAAAGGTAAAGGTTCCCTTACTCGAAAGCCAGTCGAATCCTAGGGTTGCGGTGCTCATCTCCTTTTCAAAGCCGAAGAGCTAGCGCTGTCCGAAGAAGTTTCCGTGGTCATGTGGCCGGCATCACTAAACACCAAGGTGCACGGAACGCTGTTACCTTCCCACTGAAGCGGTACCTATTTATCGACTTGTAATTTCTTGCTTTCGAACTGCTAGGTTGGCAGGAGCTGGAACTAGAGGGGGGAGCTCACGCCTTTCATATTAGGGCTCTCTTAATTGCTTCCAACTAGGCAAGAACACTGACCTATGGAGAACACTAAGACCCGCACTGGAGGATTGCAGCCAACACACACAGAACAGGACCTAAGTGAGGCCATTCCCATACAGGCTTTGAGGGGGAAAACAGAATTTAGCTTTTAAGGGCTCCTTTAAAAGGCATACATATATAAAAACATTACATGGGGTGAACTGGGAAGACAAAATGGTGGGGGAGGGTTACACCCCCTTCATGACCAGGACCCCAAAGGCGGCCTCTGATGAGAAGTGCAGCAGAGCCGTCAAAGGCAGGGCAAAGAGTCTCCCATCTTGTGCAGGGCAGAAATTGGCAAAAGCAAGGAGAGTCCTGTCTTGCCAGGGCTGGCCTGGGTGGGGTGAAGTGAGTCTGGCACAGGGTCAGCCCAGCTGAGGGGGCTCTCTCCTGGTGTGGGACTGGCCCAGGCAGTTCTCCTCTCCCATGGTGCTGGCCAGGGAGAGGCAGCCCCAAGGCCATCAGCCCACCACTAGGACGTTGCCTGGTGGCCTTAATGGACAGTCTGGCACTGGATCCATGGACTGAATACAGTGGAACTTATTACTGAGTAAACGTGCATAAGATTGCATTGGAGGTACTTCCCACTACTACAGAATGGGAGTGCAAATCGGGAGCAAATCTAAGCTGGTCTATGTGGAAGTAAGACCTCTAGTTAGGACAACAGGAGACTGTGTGCCTCAACCAGTTTGATTTGCCATTATCCTTTAGCATTCAGATAGAGACACACACACATTGGAATTCAACAAAGTTTGAGTCCAGTGGCACCTTTAAGACCAACAGGGTTTAATTCTGGGTATAAGCTTTCGTGTGCATGCCCACTTCAACAACAACTGTTATTATTGTTGCTTCTGTCAGTCTGTCAAAGCTTCTGTTCCAGCAACATGAATGCAGCCGCTGGACAACTGCACTGCCACACTCAGGAGAAGGACAGAGACTGCATGAATCAGAAGTCAGTGTTTTCATGACATGTCTGCTTTAAGTGTGGTGGAGCACCTCCTTCTCCACCCTGCAAACACTCTCTGGTGGTTCACATACACACAAAGTTGCTTTAGAGAGTGTGGCCGTCTCGTCGATCTTGTGTGCACTGACTGGCTCTTGGCTAGGGTTGCCAACAACCTAGAGAGAGAAAAATGTATTGCCCCTTTAATAGAGACCTAATATGCGAAACTGAGCAGATGAAACTTTTCATGGCATGAGGTAAATAATGTCACCTGGTAATTATCACCCTATTAAGCCTTGGTTAAAGGGGCTTCAGGTTGTTGGCAGAGGAAGGTCTTTCCTACTATCTGGAGTCCCTTTCACTAGGGACTGTTTGGGCTGTGTCAACAGAAGTGTAGTGTCCAGATCACGCAAAGTGATGGTATTGCTTTACACTGCTCTGGTTAGACTTCACCTAGGGTATTGTGTTCAGTTTTGGGCACCACAACTTACGATGGATATAGACAAGCTGGAACATGTCCAGAGGAGGGCAACAAAGATAGTGAGGGGTCTGGAGATCAAGTCCTATGAGGAAGGGTTGAAGGAGCTGGGTATATTTAGCCTGGAGAGAAGACAACTCAGAGGTGATATGATAACCAATTTGCCCTATTTGGGCAAAGTATTGGAGAGAGCGGTGGCAATTCAGTTGCAGAGCTTCATGGATGACACTTCCATGCTGGACCCGTTCCAGTCTGGCTTCCGGCCGTGTCATGGGATGGAGACGGCACTGGTCGCTCTCACAGATGACCTCCAAAGGCATCTGGATTGAGGTGGCATGGCGGTACTGGTGTTGAAACTGTTGGTGGTGTTTGACACTGTCGACCACCAGTTACTGATCCACCACCTCGCCGACACTGGAATCCAAGGGCTTGCCTTGCAATGGCTTGTCTCTTTTCTCCAGAGTCAGGGATGGAGGGTGGCACTAGAGGTGCAGACGTCCCAGAGACACCCGCTGGTGTGCAGGGTGTTGCAATGGGGCAGTGGTATCCCCGATGTTGTTTAACATCTACATGCGCCCCCTCACCCAGATTGCCCGGAGGCATAGGCTAGGGTGCCATCAATATGCAGATGACACCTAGCTATATCTGTTGTTGGGCGGTCAGTCCAACTCTACCCCAGATGACCTGGAGTGGGTGCTTTGTGACATGGTGGGCTGACTTAGACTGAATCGACTGAAACTGAATCCAACGAAGACGGAGGTCCTGTGCTTGAGTCAAAGTAGGTCGGGGGTGGGGACCCCATTACCGACCTTTGGTGGGGCGCCATTGGTGCCAGCGCCGAGGATTAGGAATCTGGGAGTACTCTTTAACAATGGATGCCCAGGTAGCAGCCACTGCTAAGGCGGCCTTTCACCACCTATGTCTGATTAGGCAGCTGGTTCCCTTCCTTGAACGCAATGACCTAGCAACAACGATCCACGCAATGGTCACCTCAAGATTAGACTACTGCAACGCTCTCTACATGGGGCTGCCCTTGTCCCAGATCCGGAGGCTGCAGCTAGTGCAGAATGCCGCAGCCAGGCTGCTGATGGGTCTCTCTATACAGGACCATATCCAGCCTGTGCTGAGGACACTTCACTGGCTGCCTATAGCGTACCGGATCCAGTTCAAGGTGCTGGTTCTAACCTTTAAAGCCCTATATGGTCAGGGGCCTGCCTGCTTGAGGGACCGCCTCTCCCCATATGTGCCCCAGAGAGCACTGAGGTCAGGGTTGCAACATCGTTTGACCCTCCCTGGTCCGAAAGAAGCCAGGCTGAATATCACCACAATCAGGGCTTTCTCAGTGGCAGCCCCATACTGGTAGAATGAGCTCCCGGAGAAGAGAACCAACGGGTTGAAATTAAATCAGAAGAGTTTTCAGCTAAATATGAGGAAGAACTTCCTGACAGTGCGGTTCCTCGGTGGAACAGGCTTCCTCAGGAGGTGATGGGCTCTCCTTTGAAGGTTTTCAAACAGACACTAATGGCCATCTGACAGCAATGCTGATTCTTTGAACTTAGACAGATTATGAGAGGGAGGGAGAGCAGGAAGGGTTGCGTCAGTGCTTAGTTCTTGTGGCCCTTTCTTACATGCCCAGGGAAATGCTGATCGCCACTTTGGGGTCAGGAAGCAATTTTTCTGAAGGCCTGTTTGGCTGGGGATCCTGGAGGTTTTTTGTGGACGAAGATATTGGATTTATACCCTGCCCTTCACTACCTGAAGGAGTCTCACAGTGGTTTATAATCTACGTTCCCCTCCCACAACAGACACCCTGTGAGGTAGGTCGGGCTGACAGAACTCTTTTGAGAACAGCTCTGAAAGAACTTGTGACTGACCCAAGGTCACATCAACACCAGCATGTGGAGAAGTGGGGAATCAAACCCGGTTCTCCTAGATTAGAGTCCACACTCCCAACTACTACACCAAACTGGCTCTCATGGATCAGTTGGGGGGAGGAGATATTTGTGAATTCCCTGCATTGTGCAGAGGGTTGGATTAGATGACCCTGGAGGTCCCTTCCAACTCTATGATTCGATGATTCTAGGTACGGCAGGACTGGAACCTGGACCGCATGTGTGCCAAATGTGTGCTCTACACCACTGAGGCAGAACACCTGCATTGGGCCACTGGGTTCTTTAACAGCTGCCCTTATGCCTAGAGCTAAGCATTTATCTGCCAGCAAACCCATTCTGCCCCATCAACTCAGATTAGAACCATGATGCATGGAGAGAAGATAGGGTCACTAACCTTCAGGGGGGGCCTGGAATCTCATGCAACTACAACTGACTTCCAGGCAATGGATTCAGTTCCCCTGGAGAAAATGGCTGTTTTGGAGGATGGACTCTGTGGCGTTGTACCCCACAGGGGATACCCCACGGAGGTCTCTCCCCAAACTCTACCCTCCCCAGGCTCTACCCCCACATCTTCAGGAGTGGGGGTTAAGCCTTCTTCCCACACTGTTTTTCTGAACTGAAAAATCTCTGAAGAGTCTGTGATTTGGCTATGTGTTTTGCTGGAGTTTTGTTGTTGTTAAAAACTTAAATCTTCAATAAAATGGTTAATTAAGAAGACTTTTTGAATAGTTTCTTGGTCTTCTGAACACATATGTATGTGATCAGCCTTCCTTCCTCATAAACTACTAATTTCCCCTCGTTAATGATGTTAAAATGTAATTGCAAACAAATCCTCCAGAATGACTATTTCAATCAAACTTGACAGGGGAAAAATTGCAGCTAAGAAATTATTATGCAGTCAGCTCATTTGCAGATGTGAACTTCAATTCAGGAAAAAAAAATATAATGGAATTTAAGAACAAACCTCATTTCTGTTTCAA